CACGGCTCAACGTATCTGTATGTTTATGCGGGTGACTCGCTATAAGAGAAACCAGTATGTTTTGTTGACTGGAAATGCTTGAAGTGGCAACCCTATATGTAGGCATTGTGAAGGTAGCAAGACAAGGTTTTTGAAAAGTATGGCATGAATTGTAAAGGTCACGAGACACGGTTTTTGAAAGGTTTCTCAAATTCCTAGTACCTCTTGCTCGGTAATCTTTCCTATTATATAAAGGAACACGTGCTTTGGGTTTCTGTTTACGTGGAGGGTGAGGGTGAGTTTGTTAAAATCATGAGTTAATTTATAAAATTTTATGACTTTATAAGTTAATAAATATTTAACATGCTAAATTAAACTAAAAATTTAAAATTAGTAAAATTAAATTTAACTCGTGCAAAAATTTAAAACTCGGTAAACTTGATCTGATTTGATAAGTTTACTAAATTTATATTATGAACTAAGTCAGGTTCAAATTTGGCTTTAAAATGTCTGCTAGCTAATTTTGTGAGATTAAACATATTTTTCAAATCATTTATCAGATAAAACAAAAAATTTTCAGGAAAATATTAGATATATGAAAATATATTATGGTAAATTTTCAAATCAAATGAAGCTAGAAAACATAATATTTTAGAGGGTTAAAGTTAGTAAACTAATATTGTCAAATATATCAATTAAGACCTTTGTGTATTGTTTGGAATATATTTAGAACTACCAGTGAGATTTTGCTTCGATTAAAGTTGGGATGAAAATTAGTCATTTAAGATTTTCCAACTATATATGATAGGCCTAATAATTCATTCAAACGAGACAGAATAACATGTTTAAAATCACAAGAGAATGTCATGTTTGAAATTATAACTTAAATCTATAAATAATATGCAAAAATTAGAGATTCAGACCACATGGAAGACTTTTATTATGAAGAATTTTTTAATTATTCTATTTTATTTATTTGTTTCTTTTTAAATAATTATTTTTAATTTGAATTTTTTCTAGTGTATTAAACATTGTTTAGGCATTTATTTTATTATTGATTTTTTGTTAATTAATTACTAATTTAAACTCATTATTTTGCAACCTAAAAAGGGTTTATCAAGACTTATTGTGATAGGACCAACTAGGTTGTCACTACGTTTATGTGTGCTTCCTACCTTTCAATGATTACCTTGAGCAATTTTATTTTGAGATTTTTTATTTCTCAATGTCATTAATTTATTGATCAATATTATCTATCTTTTTATTTTATTTAGATAACTCATTGATTATAATATTGTTGACTTATTTTATTAGATTTTATTGTAATTTAATTTTTTTACTAGAATTATCAAAATATAATTACTTAAAAATAATTACTTATAATTTTACGATTCGAGTTTATGATTTGAGGTTATATTGTATTTTTGTTGTCATGCAAAATGTGAATAAGTTGGTTACTATGCATGAGCAAAGTAACTAGACATTATTACATTTGCTGCATAACATGATTTATTCACGTTCTGCATGCAAATACAGGTGAGGCAACAAACCGGAAAAAGGGAGGCGCAATTACTTGTAATGGTGGCAATGTTGGTGACTGCTAGAGCGATGGTTACAACAGTGCTGCTAATGGTCTTTTTTTTTTCTTTCTTTTCTTTTCTCCTCTTCGTTTCTCTCTTCTCTCTTTTATCCTCTCTTTTGTTCTGCCCTTCCTCTCTCCCTTCTTTGTCTCTTCTCTTTCTTTTCCTTTCTTGTTCTTAAAGGCAAAAAAACAAAGGAGACAGAGGATAAGACCATTGTGTTGCGGCCCCTCTAACATGTGAAAAGATTTTTTTTGGGCAAGTAGGGTTAGTGAGCATCATTTAGGAGAGAAATGACAGTGGAAATAAAGGAAGAAAAAAAAATCTTCTTCTTCCCCTACTTTGCGCATCTAAGGGAAGAAGAAGACCCACAACGTTGTTCAAAACGACACCGTTTTGAGCCTTTTTTATTTTTTATGTGAATAGTGTATCAAACAGTACCATTTTGGATAAAATACGAAGTTTTATTTAAAAGAAAAGGCGACAAAAATATGTCAGCGTTCACATTATTCCTAATGTAATTTGTTCAATCAAGTCTTAAATTGCAATTTTGATTTAAAAATCAATACAATTGCATCCCTACCAAAAATCAAATAGCGGCCCTGAAGTTGACCATCCTTGGTCCTTGGTCTCATATTAGTGCAATTTGACTCTCAATTGAGCAATAAACTTCTAATTTGTTTAATTTGACCCCTGATTCAATTTAATTACAGTCCCTCTATTTACGCGTGTTTTTCATTTTGGTCCTTGATTTTGAATTTCTCCATTTAAACCCCTAATTGACCATCAAAATTTAATATTTATGCAATTAAGCCTTTGATTTGACCAAATTAACTCTCAAAAATTATATTTTGACCCCAAAACTTGAATTTCATCCAATTTAAGCCAAATTAACTTCAAAATTAATTTTTCTTATAATCAAACCCTTCATAAATTCAATTAAACCTTTAATAAAATTTAATGGAGTCTATAAACATATAATTTTAGACTTTTCTTTTTCAAATTAAATTTTCTTTGTCAACAAAACTCTCATCACTCAACAAAATAATGTTAAATTTTAATCTTTGTAATTTTGAACCTCCTCAACTAATTTTTAACAATTGTTAGGGCGCTTTGGCATTATTTTTTAACTGTTATATTTTTTGATAATATTTTTTAGTTTTTTATTTATTTATTTATTTATTTTTTTTTTTAATTTTTGCATGGAAATCCCAAAATGAATTATGACAAAGCTATGAAATCATTTCAGGATTGAAACATTCTATGAAACAAAGTTTACAAGAATTCTGATTCGTAATTACTTTACCAAGGAGTAAACTAAACTTGAAATGAAAATGAGAGAGACCCTTGTTATAAATTGATTGAAGAAGAGCCATGTATTCTGGATAAATTAAAAGCAACTGGATTAGCAATAACAAATTAAAGAACAAAGACAAGGACAAGGTGAAATGAATCCCAAAAATAGGTGTTTCTAACGTCGATGGTTAAATTTGGAATTCTTTTCCAGCCATATATTTTCTCAAGGCTTCAGGAATCTCTACACCATTGTCCTTCGGATTGTTCTCAATTCAAATGCAGTTTCAAAAGTTTGAGCTCATTTCTTTTAATTTTATTTGAGGTTCTTTTTTGTGATGAAATCCTGTTTTTATGGAAATGATATATTCACTTTTTATTAGGGTTTGTGGAGTGATTATCTGTAAAATATAATTTTAGAGTAAAATGTGCTCTAAAAAGTGGTTTTTATTAAGAGATTTGTATGTCTATACATGCACAGTTGCAGTTGCTCGCCAACAGAAGATATGCACGCATGTGTGAGCTCCTGCAATTTTATTTCAGAATACAAAATAAAAGGTAACCTCTGTGTTCATGGCAAGCTTTTACCTTTCCCTCCTCCATATCCAGAGCCATAACCAGACCCGCTTCCATAACCTGAGCCTGAGCCTGAGCCAGATCCTCCTCCTCCACTTCCACTTCCACTTCCATAGCCTGACCCACTTCCTGATCCAGAGCCTTGACCTCCACCTCCACCACCACCACCTTTTCCACCACCTATCCCACTACCGGAACCATAGCCTGAGCCGCTACCAGACCCATCGCCAGAACCTGACCCGTTGCCTCCACCCTTGCCACCACCGATACCACAAAGAATCAGTTTAAAATGAACATGTAGCGGTCACAAACTGTTAGAAGCAGTTTTGGGTGTTGAATTTGACACTCGATGGACAATTTGAAACAAATATGATAACTAAAATGAGATACAAATACAGATAGAGCACGAATACACCTGTAAATGACCTTTGAGAAGGGAACAAAAGCTTCTTAGGAGCTTAGCCTAGAATTTCACCTCCAGAATTTTCACATATTTATAAATCTTGCAGCCAAATCTTCCAAAAACAATCCCTTCAGATGCAGCGAAAAATGCTAGCACATGGCTTACAAAGAGTTTCTTCCAAAACAATCTGCACTTGGTTTTGATTCAATAGCGTGTGATTGCATCACAACAAGACGAAAAATGGCTACAAAAATTGAGGGCTCCCCTTCATTTGTCGGGTTTGAGAGGAGAGCTTACCCCTTTTTTATTATTTACAATGCACATGAAAATCCATGAATGAAGTTCATAGTCATAGTAATACATATTTCCACTTATTACGAAACCTGAAATGAATTTTAGATTTTTCTTTTTCAAATTAAATTTTCTTTGTTAACAAAACTCTCATAAATAAACAAAATAATATTAAATTTTAATTTTTGTAATTTTGAACCTCCTCAACTAATTTTTAACAATTGTTAAGGCGCTTTGGCATTATTTTTTAACTATTATATTTTTTTGATAATATTTTTTAATTTTTTGTTTATTTATTTATTTATTTTTAATTTTTAACTTTTGCATGGAAATCTAAAAATGAATTATGAAAAAGCTATGAAATCATTTCAGGATTGAAACATTCTACAAAAAAAAGTTTACAAGAATTCTGATTCCTAATTACTTGCCCAAGGAGTAAGCTGAACTTGAAATCAAAATGAGGTAGACAATTGTTATAAATTGATTGGAGAACAGCCATGTATTCTGGATAAATTAAAAGCAACTGGATTAGCAATAACAAATTAAAGAACAAAGACAAGGACAAGGTGATGTGAATCCCAAAAATAGGTGTTTCTAACGTCGATGGTTAAATTTGGAATTCTTTTCCACCCATATATTTTCTCAAGGCTTCAGGAATCTCTACACCATTGTCCTTCGGATTGTTCTCAATTCAAATACAGTTTCAAAAGCCTCCCCCCCCCCCCACCAGCAACTTTGCTGCCACCTATCCCACCACCGGAACCATAGCCTGAGCCGCTACCAGACCCATAGCCAGAACCTGACCCGTTGCCTCCTCCACTGCCGCCACCACCTCCTCCTCCACTGCCCCCGCCTCCTCCACGACTACCGGCACCATATCCTTCACCGCTCCCGGATCCAGACCCGGAACCATCACCTGACCCAAGTCCTGATCCAGATCCACCACCACCACCTCCTCCCTGCCCTCCTCCTCCACCTCCACTAATTGACTGCAGTGTCCTAGCAGCAAAGGTGAGGTCTACAATAAGCAAGACCAGGAAAGCAGTCCCTAACACTCTTGGACTTGCCATTTCCAGATTATTCTCTCACGTACGGCTCAATGTATATGTTTAATATGCGTGTCACTCCCTGTATGAGAAACAAGTATGCTTTGTTGACTGGAAATGCTTGAAGTGGTAACCCTATATATAGGCATTGCAAAGGTAACAAGACAAGATTTTTGAAAAGTTTGGCGTTAATTGTAAAGGTGACGAGACATGGTTTTTGAAAAGTTTGTCAAATTTCTGGTGCCTCTCATTTGTTAATCTTGACTTTTACGGGAGCGCGTCGGTGGTTGGGTGACGGTACTGTGGAGGACCGTCTGTTATATGCAATAGAATACAAGCTTTATCCCCGACTTTTCTTTTTTGACGTAGAAGTGTCTTGTAATATTTGACTTCGGCAATGGGACCAGTATCACGCATTTGCCACTCTTTATGATCCTGTTCATATTTTAGCTCCACTTTTGAGTACACGTATTTGTTTTCCATGTACTGGTAGCTGTCCTGCAGCGATTTATGCCCACGATTGTCTCCCTAGGCATAAGTTGACCCGCTAACGGTAGATATCTTTCTACTCTGCGTGTATGTTAACAATGAGCCAAGCTTGCACAACAAGCTGGGTTGTTCAGTCAATATTTCTTATTTCTTACACTTGGAAATTGGAATTAAATTTCTTTTCCCACAATATCATAGACATCTTCCACCATTGAATATAAATAGATCTGTGCTTAAAAACCGCGTTCGAATGTCTGACCTATAATTAAAAACCTTGGTGCCTGTTCTGGTGTATGAAAGCACACCATCCTTGCATCACTGATAGCAGAATGTTAGGCCATCTGTGTGGTTGATACACTGAACAGTCTTCTATTCTTGCACAGATTGGATTTCAGTTCCATATATATGCACAGATCATCACATCCTTTAATGGCATGCTTTAATAAGTCTGTGTAAGAGTACAATTTATTTATTTATTGTTATTGGGGATCTTCTATTCTGAATTATCTTTATTAATTGATAGTGGTTGTGCCTTGAAACATATCCTTTTTTTTTCTTCCACGTTTTTTCTTGAACAAAACATGTGAATAGCAAATGCCAATAATTTTCAACTTTGGAGCACTTCTTGAAGAGAGCACCATCTCTGATGGAATTTTATGTTGATATTAATACTTATAGTTTGATGGGATGAATTTTCCTGATCGGCTAGATGATAGAAATCATCTATAAAAAAAACTTCTTTTTTGTGTTTTATGGTATGTTGGTAATAATTTTACCGATGACTTTATTGGCGCGCTAAAAACATTTACCCACTTCATTTCATTAATATCTCTATCGATGAATATAACATATTACCGATATAAAATTCATGTGTCATTCTTTCAGTAAATCTTTTTTATACGTCAATATTTTCTTCGATGAATTTGATATATAATCATCAAATAGACCATATGTTATTCCAATGGTGAGTAAATAGTGGTGGTGGCATTTGAAGTAATTTTTTTCCAATTTTCTGGAATATACCAATAGTCTTAGACCATCGATAGCCTTGTTAGAAATAATTTAAAAATGTATTTAAAAAAAACCATTAAAAAAATAGAACGTAATTAATATATATTAGATTAATATAAAAATCAAATAATTGTAACAAATTTAAATATTTATAAGTTTATATATAATTAATCTAGAATAGAGAAACTAAAAAAGAAGAAGAAGACGGGTCACCGCTAGGAAGGTGGGGCAAATAAGTGGGAGTAGATGCATCACCTATCTATTATCTTGTTTATATTACCAATCAGTGAAGTTTAATCGTCCTAGTATTGAGCTATTCATAATCAATAGTATAATGGGTCATCCAAGCTTGAACTCGCTTGTCTAAAATCGCCTTGAACTCCAAAGTTTGAATGCTTGAAACCTATTGCAAGTATCCAACAATTAAAACACTATGAGTTGTTTGCAAGCCCCCGACTATAGGTTAGGGAAACCATATGCCTGATTTCTATAGAATCCACTAAACAATTCTGCCTCCAACCATAAATCCAGATTAAGATGTGGATGGGTCGAAAAATCATCATTGTTTCTCTCCTTCAATCGAGTGTTATATATATCCTAGAAAAAAAGTCAGGAAATTCCAAAAAATAATAACTTGAGTAAAAATGGTTGAAAACAACGTACCACAAAGTGCTAAGATTAGTTATCTATGAGTTGTTGCACCTTTTTTTAATTGTCACCAATTCACATGAATGTTTCCATAAAAATCTACATTAAGCTTGGTCCGCTTCTAGGAACCATGGCTAGTAAGATAAATATGTCGTTAGTTAAATATATTTATATAAAAAAAAACAACCAATAAAAAATTGTTGTAATTTAAAAAATCTTACAACTTGTTTTGCAAGTGAAATGAACGGAATAGAGCCACTAGGTAAATGGATCCCGCTGTGAAGCAATTCTTTTTTTACATGGTGGCATCTCACTCGTGAGTGGATGCCTGTGTCTTAGGTTCATATTCTAGGTGGCACCTAATGACTCCTGGTCTTCTAAATCAATGCTAGAAAAAATTATTGCGGGTCATGCTTGTACGACTTGCTATTGACTTTTATCTAAATATCTACATAAATTAAAGGATTAAGATGTTGTAAATCATTCTTATTTAAAACAAATTGACAACGCCTCCCCTATAAGAGAGACTACCCATAAATTTTAAACTTGCAAATACATAACAATTTAAATTAGATTGCCACAAACTAGTTGATTTTTTTTCAATGTATGTCAATCAAATAATAACAATTATGTTTATTTAGCCAAAACTTCAATTAACTTTGCAATGAACATTTACGAATTATTAATCATAGTAGATAAATATAAACATATTAAAAAATTTGTAGTATCAATATTTCACATTAAAATCTATTCATTTATCATAATTATTATCTTAGCTTCTTTTTTTTATGATGGCTACTATTTTTGTTTTCTTAATTTAAAATAATTTTTATTTTTCATGACATAAAAAACTGTTTCTTATCACCAATAAATCAATTAGCTAACCATAGTGATTATATGGGTCTTGTATATAAAAGCATAATCTAATGATATTCAATAAGAGATAAGAATATAATTTTTTTTAATTTTTTTTTAAAATTTCAACATTTATGCAATCATTAAAGAACAAAAAAAAGTAAAAAAAAATTATAACAACATTTATACAATCATTAAATAACATAAAAATTAAAAAGATTCCAACAATTATACAATCATTAAATAAAAGAAAAATAAAATAAAAATAATTCCAAAAACATTTATACAATCATTAAAGAAAATAAAATTTAAAAAAACTCTAAAAATATTTATAAAATCATTAAAGAGAAGAAAAATTAAAAAATTCCCAACAATATTCATAGAATCAATAAAGAAAAGAAAAATTAAAAAAAATTCCAACAACATTTCTACAATTATTAAGAACAAAAATATATAAAAAATAAAAAAAAAACATAAAAAATGGGAAAGGAAAAAAAAGAATCTTACCTTAATGTTGTTGTGAGTTTTCCCGATCCTGGAAAGAGAAACAAAATAAAAATTATGTTAAATAACTAGAGAAGAAGAAAGGAAAAGACATACCTGCACATGAAGGAGAAGAGAAAAGAAGAGAAAGGAATATGTCGAGGAGAGAAGGAGAGGGAGAAGAGATAAAAAGATAAAGATTAGGAAGGTAGAAAGAATAGAAGCTGCGGAGAAAGAGAGAATAAGAGAAATGTGCTTTTAAATTGAATCTTTTTTACCAATAAAGTTTACGAGGATCAATTAAATATTAATATTTTAATTTTTGCTATTAGTGTATTTATCGGTGAAGTCTAATTAAAATTTCAATTTAATCAAATATTTTCAGAAACATACTAAGCATTAACAATGTCTTTACTATCAAAAAACTAAAAATTAATATTTTAATTTTTCTATTTGTGCTTCCATCTGTAATATCTAATTGAAATTTTTAATTTAATAGAAAATTTTCAGAAACCCACCAACTATCATTGACTACTTTTAAGTCTGTCATTGATCATATATGCATTGAACTGAGTGAGAAGTGAACAGTTCCTTAGCTCTTGAAAAAAATACTCACATACATTACTTGTTGGTGATCTTGTATGCGTTAAAAAGTAATAAAAAGTGCAAGAGAAAGTAACAACACCTTATCTCTGGGGAAAATACCAACATACATTAACCGTTGGTAATCTTGTATGTATTGAGTTATAATATATAAGGCAAGTGAGAATTGAACACTACCTTAACTTTTAGAAAAATACCAATAGACATTTTTTGTCAATGATCCTGTATGTATTGAGCACCATTAACAGTACAATTAAAAGATGAAAAGATTCAATACTTTATGAAATATACTAACAGCCTTAATTTATCAGTATATCTTTTAGTATTTTAAAGTTTGTCGGTATTTTTATTGGTGTAAATAAAACGTTATTGTATTATATTTTATTCCTTTCTTTTCAACTATAATTCTCTCGTTATATGCTGATGAGATATTTTCATCGGTATTTATTAATAGATACTGTGAAGGCACCTTCAGCTGGGGAAATACACTGTAATTGCAATTGATCGATAGAAATATTTCATCAATGTGTATTTGTCAATTTTCTAGTAGTGTTTATGCTATCAAAATTAGCAGCATGCTTCACATGTTTTTTTTTAGATAAACCATAAATTAATGTGAATAAATTGTTGTAATATCACACGTATCTAGCTTTTAATGTACTTCTCAATCCCATATTCTACTCTCCAGAATACCCGGAAAATCTCAGGCCACAAACACACCCTCTAACGCACCACCCAAAATTGTCCAATTGCATAGCATGCTTGCTTTCAGTAATAGCTACCTAGGCATCATATCCTCGACCAAAATAGAAATGGGCTATCGTCGATTTCCAACTTGATGAACCGCAACTTCTAAGCACTTGTGCATTTGAAATGCATAAACAGATTAGGTGTATAATGTGCTATTTATTATGGAGACATTTGTCAACAATGTCTGGCTGAAAGTGCTTTCGAACGTTCCTCTCCAATAGCAGATTGGATATTAGAGAATACTTGTTCAACGCACTACCAGGGAGATAAAATTAGTTTGGTAGAGTTTTGGTGATATGGAAGAAGTGGAAGTCATTATCATGTTATTAGTGGCAAACATTATGTGCGACTTCAGCTCTTGGTTACCTAGTCATTTATATTTTACCTACTCCAATAACGAATGTGATCAGGAGATTCTCTTCATGGATATGCACAAATTATTTATAGTATCATCAGCCACGATTAATTTCCCATTGATCAAGGATTGCAATTGACATGGGGGGAGTAATAGGGTAGCGTACAATAAACATACATTACCAGCTAGCAGGTTATCTGCTGTTGGTTATAAGACTCAGTGTTGGCCATTTCCTTTTTTCCCAGAAAAGAAACAAAGAAGAAAATAGAAAAAAGACTTGTTAGTTTGCATCATCAACCGCTCATTGCAACGTAAAAGCTCTTACATTTAGGAGCTTACGTTGATACAACAGAAAAAAATACAAAATTTAAGAATTGCACTTGTAAAGGATTTTTAACTACATGACCAGCAGTATGTCAAACAATGGCTTCAGTCCACCAATCAATTTGATGCCTTGCATCCAAATATTCAATTAATCTATTCATGTTTGTGATATTTTTAATGTAACAGCACAGTCCAATTTACTATATATTGTCTGCTTTGAATCTTATTGTCCTCATAGTTTTGTTCCTAGTGACACGAGCTTACTTCTGAACCTAATGCCCCAAAACGTGTATGATAAGTTGGCAACCAACACTCTTAACAAGACCAACTATGTAGTATCCCACATCAGCGCATGAGAGTACTGGTTGTCAATTTGTCATACGTGTTTTGGAGCGTCAAGCTCAAAAATGAGCTCATGTCACCATAAACAAAACCGTGAGGATGGTAAAGCCTAAAGTGAACAATATATAGCAAGTTGGGCTGGGCTGTTACAAGCTACCACTCACCCACCCACCAATATGAGATATTACACTTAATCTCATTCTAGAAAAATGCTAGGTGGGCTATCCTAAAGTACGTCGATGCATTCATGAAGCAGGCAAAATATGACAGTTTAAAAACATACTACATTGCAGAGACAAAGGCAAGTTAGAAGAGTTGACGCGCATGTTGCTAGTGCAAAGCAAAACGGAAACAGTAGGAATGTATTTTTCTGCAATACACCATAAATGAGAAGCAAATTCAAAATGTCCCATAAAAAGTCCAGGTATCCAGATATCAATACTCAATTGCTTTTAAAAAAAAACATCCGAAAAAAAAAGGGGGGAGAAAGACTGAATTCAAAATGACATGGCAAGAAGAAAGTGATCTGAGAAAAAAAAAATACAATCATTTCCATCAACAAAAGCAATGCAAAGGAGTTAGAGATATAGATAATCCCCTTCTGTCCCACTTCATAAATCAACAAAGCAAAATCACAAAAGCAAATGAATCACCAGATAATTAAAACAGGCTCATACGGTACTTCTAAACCTCTTAGCATAGTTTTTATGTACTGTTTTAAAAGTATCAGAAATGAATGTTGTATACCTTTGAATGCAATCCACTGCTGATTTTGCTTTCTCGGCCACACAAGGAATGTTTTCAGTAGCATTGAACAACCTATGCTTCTCCCTTGAGTCCGTGATATAGGTCTCCAAAAGCAAACTATATATCTCTGAACATAGAAGCAAAAAAAAAAAAAAAAAATGAATCAAGAGATTTGTAATGCATCATAAGAGAAAAAAAGTCCACCAACTCCACTCAAATTGAAAATGCCATGGTATTAGACAGTCAAATTGGAAAAACGGAAGTTGATTGCTCAAAATATGCATCCATGTCTATACCTTTACCACAAAGAATCAGCTTAAAATGAACATGAAGTGGTCACAAATTATCAGAAGTAGTATTGGGTGCTTGAATTCAACACATGATAAACAACTTGAAGCAACTAGTATAACTAAAATGAGAAACAAATAAAGGTAGAGCATCAATACACCTATAAATGAACTTTGAAAGGCTCTCTGAAGCTTAGCGAAGAAATTCACCTCTGGAATTTGAACATCATTTAGAAATCTTGCAGCCAAGTTTTCCAGAACAATCCCATCAGATGCAGCAAAAAATGCAAGCAGATGGCTTAAGAAAAGTTTCTCTGAAACGAGAGTACTTCCATTGTTGCATGTCCTGGGAGAGATTAACCTCCTCAGCTGTAATAAACTAACAAGGAACACCAAAAAGAGAAATAGAAGGGGGGGGGGGGGGGGTGCATTCTCTCATACCATTATTCTCATAAACTCAAAAGATCAGTGCAGTAACAATTGGCATTGCATTCTACCAATATCACTAGAATTATAATTGTCTGGCTAGAAGCAATCGACCTTTCACTGTAATATACTTTATTAATCCTTGTTCATGAAATCCTCTTAGCAGAATTGGAAAGTTTCAGAAGTAGATGGGAAAAAAAATTAAAAAAAATTTTAAAAAAAATTAAGGCTGCTACAATGATAAGGTAAAACTTAAAATGGAAGGATGTGCATGTGTGAATGTGCCATGAGTGAATCTCAATGAACATGGGTGTAGATGGAATAGCTGAAACAATCTGGCATTATAAAATATATGGAGCGAAAATGTTCATCTTCAAATCAAAGCATATGGAGAGGACATAACCAGAAACTGAAGGACTTATGCAAAATGTAATTGATATGCACATATGATGACATAGAGTTCCATAAAAGAAAATATCAAATAAATTATTCTGCATGTGATGATAGCATCATTTGCATCAATCTACAAAGTTTGCATATAGCCACTCCCATGCACTCAAAAATGTAATTTCAAAAAATTACCAACTAAATTAAAACTACTAAAGAAAAAAAATCACGCTAGAAGAAACAGGTTCCTTCCAAGGCCAACGGCGAGACAATCAAATCTCTCCATCCATTTATCAACCTCAGCAACAACCTTTCATGATATCTGATCCCATCCCTACAAAGCATTTTTTTCTCGACAACAAATGAGCATTTTTCTAAGAAACCATGTTCATTATTTATCTAAAGGAAAAGGAACCACAATAAAGAAACGAAATGAAAAGAATGTAAAAAATATACCGAACACTATAGGATTCTTCCAAAACAGGATGCACAATCAACTCAGGTCTGCAACTTTTGACAAATAGAGCAGCATCCTTTGTACAAAATACTTGGGACAAATCTGTACCCTGCAAAGAAAGAAACAAACAAGGATAATATCATCAAGCAAAAAGAAAGTGGGGAAATTTACAATTTTTAAAGCAGAAATAGCTGCAAAATAAGGAGCACCAGTGTACTCTCTACACCCACCAATAACAACAACTTAACCTATTAATAAAATACACAAAACAATCAAAATTGGGAAAACAAAGTGACATTCGAACAAAAGAATGAAAAGTATTTTTGTAATGAGCTTTACCTGCTTTAGTTGGGTCGCGGACATGAGTCATAGCCTCAAAATGTTGTCAGCAGCAGCCTTAAATTTTGGGTCTTGCATTTTGTCATCACTTCTAACCCCAAGAGCCCTTATCAAGAATTGTTTTGACTCCTCAAAACAGCTAAAGAAGTTGTTAACTTGTGATTTCTTGTGCTCTTTTATAAAATTAAGTGTGATCCATGACATGTTTCCCTAACATCACTAACTGCCATGAAATTTGACACAATTTCATGAACAAAATTATAATAAAAAGATGAAAACGTAATAATAATTCAATATGGGTTTATTTGGAATGGAGCATGTCCCTCGTACCTGATCATATACAGATAAACTCCTTTAGTTCAAAAATATCATCGAAACAAACCATCTGAATCTTGTTAATGAAGGTGCCATGAGAGCTGCCGAGATCATAAAGATAGGCATCTCCATTTCTTTTGAACTGGAGAACTGGAAAAGAGAAGCAACTTGCTAACTAATGACCCCAGCTTCTACAAATTAAGAAACTTTAAACAACTCTACACTCGAAGTCCCAATGAATGAGAGTTTCTTAGCCCATCTATTTCTGATATCTAGGCATCGGTGAACAGATTCTATGACATGGAAGGATTTGTATGTGTGAATGAGAGATGAGGGAATCTCAATGAACATGGATGCAAAAGTAATAGCTGAAACAGTTTGACAATATAAAATATATGGAGGCGGAAAATTATCATCTTCAAATCGGAGCTTATGGAGGGAATATCAATCAGAAACTAAAGGACTAATGCAAAATGTAATTGATATGCACATAAGATGACATAGAATTCCATAAAAGAAAACATCAAATAAATTATTCTACATGTGATGATGGCACCAATCTAGAAAATATGGAAGCGGCAAAAATTGATAAGGGCCCAGAGATGGGGAGAAGTCAAAGCAATTTGCTTAAAAATGAAAAAAGATAATCGAAAAGAACTCTCAGAAAATCTTTACACGACGAACATCTTATGCATGCCTGGTGTATGAAAGTGGGAGGATGTCTACGTTGTTTCGAACACCCCATGTGCTTATAACCTGATATTGATTATGGAAATGTAATCGAAGCACCTAATGATAGCAGAATAGCAGTCATTACAATATTTCCAAAGGAGCTTATCACCAATCTTACAAATAGTTGGCACCCAAGTTAGTGATTAATAAAAACAAAGAAAATGATTCTGAAATCTTAGTTCCATGGGGTAACATAATGGGTAAGAGGAATGAGGCATTCTTCCAGTATAAATGATGGAAACCACCACTAACCAGTCAAAAAGGAACAGGTTAATACCGAACACAATTAAATATAAGCTTTTATAACAACAAATTATATGATCAAGCAGAAACAAATACCTCGTTATCTTTATCAGTGAGAGTAGGCAGATTAAGACAGATACGGGAGACATGCAAAGAATATAGGGGACAGCGGTCCACTCAAGGTAGAAGAATTCTTTCCCAAGCAAACCACATCCTTCACCGTTGACTTCAATGACCTGCATTATCACAAAATTGAATTAAACAAATTCTTCTTCTTTTGAAGTTGAAGCACGAAATCATGTTTTAAGTGCAAGTCCCCTGGCTTGTTTGTACAAAGAACAGTTTTAACGGAAATGGGAAGGCAGCTAGCAATAAAAGCTACAACTTTCTCCTCCTACAGAAGAAATATGATTATGATTTGTGAAAGACACGCCTATAATGAAAAGTGGGTGACGTGACATAACTCAATGAAACTAGTAGTTTCACTTCCTGTAAAGAGAAATTGACCAATAAAAACAGTACAATGATACTTACAGAATGGCTTGAAAATTTTCTAATGAATCAAAGGATGGCTTAGGAAACGTTAGAGTCAACAGCAAAACTTGACACACACACAGACATGCACAAGGCACATGTAGCAATGTTTTGGAGAAGCTGCAAAAATTTAAATGTAAGATGAAACCAAAATATTTTTGAAGAATAGTAATATTCAATTATAAGTTTTTATGCCATTATGAGAAAATGCAAATGGATGCTACAGTTGATGCAATTTAAATAGGATGACATGTCGTATTTAACTCAGACAGATGGATTGCCTTTCAATTGCTGAATTTCTTTTTTTCTTTTCTTGGGTACATATAGTCGGGGGCTAAACAAGTTACTTAAAGTTTTGGGGGATGGCTCTATGCTTGCATTTGGGATACAAAGAAGTGGAATCCAATTCATTGTGCAAATGTTTCCAAAAGAGACATGATTATTAAGAGCTAGTTAAGTGCAAGCACAAACCAGACAATTGCAAAGGAATAAATAAATCATTTAACACACCAAAATCAAGTAAAGGGAAAAGAATGGAATCCTGATAACAGAATAACTAGTAAATCTTACATGCTTCATTCCTTCATGCAAATGGTTCACCTCGTGAGATATGTGGTGTTTCAGTGAGTAAACTGATTCTGTCTCTGAGCTTTCTTCACCACTTTCTTGGCAATGTGCCCTAGCAACCCAATATTACATACAGAAAATTTCTCAATGGTTGTCGGCCTTAGCAAAATGGTAACACTCATAATCATTTCAAAAGCATCGATGACAATCCAACAGTAAATAGAAGACTAGAAATTCTAATACAGATTCTTTTGCTTCATGTGACCTTAGCTACAATCCAACTGCTAGGGAAAACAAAGCTGAAGATATCCACCTGCTTACAAGTTCAATGCCAAAAAGTGCCTGAATTAATCCACTCTGGCATATCACCTCGTTTCGTTACATCTTCTTGATTGATTTCTTTCATTGAAATTATTGCGAAAAGAGAATTTTTCCGGTTTTTCTTTCTGCTTTCAGTTTGGGTGCCGAAGACCCAAAAATATTCCAAATTGAATTGCTGATAATTTCAAAACAAGTCCACAACATCAAAACCCTAATCTTTAATACAACAAAAACAGAGAGAATAGTAAGGAGATCGTTTGGTACCGTTCGGTAGGCGTTAAGAGAGAGCGGGGAAGGTTTTGTTTTGTATTGTCGCTGGTATTGTTCGACTTGAGCCCGCGCGCCAGCCCGTTTTCTTGGACCGGAATTTCCTAACCCAGGGAAAACAGCCATAAAACAAAACAAAGGAACCAGGAAGAAGAAGAGAGAGATAGAGAGATAGGAGATTTCAGTGGAGGTTGGAAAGTCAAGATATTTCGTATATTTGTTATAACGGTTAGGAAGTCACGCGTGATTGTTAAGCTGACGCGGGCGGGGATTTTACGCTAATTTAAACTTGGGCTTAATGGGCCACTTTTAAACTTTAAGTGGGCTAGTGTGTATTAATGAACTCCAAGCCCGCATTTGTAAGGCCTTCAAAGCCTCTACAGCGAGCAGCCTCCTTAGAAGCCAACATTATTTTTTTAATTAAAAGATTTGTTTTTGTAATTTTAGGTTTAAGCTACATGGTTGATGATATAATATTCATTAGAGATTTATATAATTGTTAATTTTAAAATTTATAGAGTTAATTGAGATTTGTATAAACTAACCAAAAAATTAAAAAAAAAATAAAGATGGAGTTGAAAGCTACAAGAGGCGATTCAGAATATTTTCAAAAAAAAATAAAAATGCTTACATTATAGTTTCAGGCGTCCGAGGAGATAAACGTTTGCAAACAAAGGCTTTAACACCTCTAGGATGGCCTAAACACAAATTCATTATCAGAAAACTTATGGAAATATATTCTTGATTAAGATAATAAAAGCTGCGAGCATCATTCTCCTTCCCTATGGTTCTTATTAATTATTGGTGAATCCGTATGAAGCTCTTCCACCTAGGAGGAATTATTGAAGACGTGATGGCATCGGCATTTGGATCATCATAGTGGTCAAGACCAAGAAGATGTCCTCTTTCATGCACAACAACAGATTCAAGAGGGTTTAAGACTTTCCTATCCAAAGTTGTGTAATTAGCTAAAGACCTCTATTTTGGTCTTCTGGGATCATGAGAATCTTTGTTTCCATTAATGATGACGGGCCACAAGTTTTCCGTGCTTGAAGTATTTGTTAGTAATTCCTCCTTGATGGGCCAAGCTATAGAGCATGGAATACGGGGTTCCAGTTCTTGTTCGTTTGACCACAATATAGAATTCAACTCCACGGATACCTTCATGGACCAAGAGCATTGCATAATTTCTTCCTTTCCCTTTTCCTTACGTTGTAGTACGTGAATTACTACATATTTCCACTAATTACTAACTTGAAATCAATACTTACTAAACATGAAATCAATAAATTTCGATCACAGATTTACAATGTGATGAGTGCTACTTCTATAACGATTGACATTAAGCTATGAAATCATTTCAGGATTGTAACATTCTATTGAAAAAAAATGCTTACAAGAATTCTGATTAGTAATTACGCCGTTATTTACTTATCAAAATGAGATAGATCCTTGTTATAAATTGACTGGAGAACAGTCATGTATTCTGGGTAAATTAAAAATAACTAGATTAGCAATAACAAATTAGAGACCGAGAGGTGATTCCCAAAAATAGGTATTAGGTTCTACTTGTGTGGACGGTTAAATTTGGAATTCTTTTCTCACCCATATACTTTCTCAAGGCTTCAGGAATCTCTACACCATTGTCGTTCTGATTGTTCTCCAGGATGCAGCAAATTGTCCTCTCTGTTGCTGTAAGAGTTGAGTTCAACAGATGACAATATTGCTCTGTTTCTTTCCCTTTCTCATTGCTCTGCAACCAAACACAAAGTAGTTAAAATCTTAAAGCCATAAAGACTGATAGGATTTATCCGTACAGCCATGAAAAAAAAAAGAAAAGGTTTCTGTGTGAAGTAATATAAATTTTTCATATAGAAGACACATGAGTAAGACTTACCTTTTTATACCCATATCGAATTTCTAGCCTTTCTTGACTCGTAATTAATCTGTGCAGTTCGAACAGGAGACCAACTCTCTGTAAGTAATGGAAGCAGGAAACCAGCCCTCCAGTCCATACTTCTTTGCAGCTGCATCATTCAAAGCAGCTGCAACAATTGCCACAACTTGATGGGGGATGTTGAGCTGTTTGAAAAGGAGGCAACTGTTAGAACACTTCTTTTGAATGAGAGAGTGAGTGTCTGTGTGCGAACACACGTCAGAGAGAGCATGAGAAGGGGGAGGGAGTGAAAATGTTGTTCACATTAGTTTCCTAATCATTTGTGCCCTCTGGCAGGTTAAGAGATGACAACTTACATAAGGAAGCAATTAACAATATATTTTTCTCAAAAAAACGACGTTATCATTCCTCCTGGTAAAACTCCTCAGAGTTTTTAATCATTTCCTCGAGTACCTCCCAAGATTTATTGCCATTGGGCTGGTAATGCAGAATTGCTCCACTTTCTCCAACTGATGAACCCTAAAAATGCCAAGAGTATCACGACCATGTCAACAGCCTCTTTACGGAAACAAGTTGAGTACCAGCATATCTGAGAAAACAAGGAATTAGTGAGACAAAAGCAATCACAGTTATTGTTAAAAAAAAAAAAAAAGTAGTTCCTAGACAATTATTATAACCTAATTGGTAACTGTGTAGGATGGATCCAATCATTTAAATGATATGCACACAGCGGTTGTTCAGCTGTAGCTATTAGATACTTGTCATCTTCCTCGCCAGTCACCTGTTGAACATCAAGAAAGTCATCAATCTAGAATATAGAGTCATTTACTACAGTCGTTTTCTGCTGGCATATATAAATATACAAAAGGAATGAGTTGCATAATGATACAGGAGATGGGGAAAATCAATGCTCCATTTATCACCTAACACTCCCGCTTCTCTTTCTTCCTTCCATTTTTTCTTAGGCAAAAAAAGAAACAACTAAATTACCAGACACCCCAAAAAATAAAAAACACACTGCTTTGGACTTCTTTTTTCTAGGTACGTCAGGATACCAAGAATGAGTGTGTGAGCTTCCTTTTTCTCTTTGTTTATCTTTTTTTGTACTAATTGAAGGAGGGCAGTAGAGGGAGTTAGAGATGAGGAAAATGAAGCAAGAGAATGTTTATTGAGAACATGAAGCATTCCACTACTTCAACAACCAAAATAGGAAAGATTAGGCACCAATGCATATATACCGAGAAAACCTTAACAGCCTACAGAGCAGAGCAAGTAATAACTTCAAGAGATGTATGATATTAACATGATTTAAGTCTTTCTTCCACAAAGTACAAGAATCCATCACATCTATCTAGCATGCAGGCCTTAAAATATTAACAGTGAGGATCAATCATAAACTCACTGTACCATTCTGGTAAGAGGCAAAATCCTGATGTAAATGTCAACCAACAAATGCATAATAGCATAAATGCGTCACAACCAGACTAATGACTATGAGTAGTGAGAGGTTAGGCTCCCAATTTTAACAGAGTTAAAACATTTGCAAAGTATAGGGACGAGGAGAGTAATAAGGTTGAGTGATTAAGAAGGGACGCGACTCATAAATTGGAGTTCAACAGCATGGGGTGATAAAGAGAGAATTTGCTGCAGTTATTCAATGATAATTTTGTTAGGATATTGCCATTATTATGGCAAATATCCCACTCCACTTATATAAGTAGAACAAATCATCATCCACTTGGTACAAAATGAAACCACAAATTATAACATAATTGATGTCGTGTTTTTTGGCTTTCTTGTCCCCTCTATATTGACAAATGAAAGGGCATGGCAATTTACATATGCATACTTGCCAAAATATTCCTGAGGTTCTGTTGAATTGTTCAGTAACCGATATGGTGGATGGCAGAGCTCAATAGCAGTGGGAAACTTTTGCTCATTTCATCCCAATTCAGGTAATTTTGATCTGGACAAGTTATAATCCTCCTACACCTCAGTTGGGGGAAGATATAGTATACTGGAGACATTGTACAGGTGGTCAATTCTCAGTAAATTCAACTTATCAGATTCAAGAAGATAGTAGAGTTACTCATCAACAAAATGACCCTTTGTGGAAGATCATCTAGCAATCGAATGGTCTAGAAAGAGTGAACATATTTCTTTGAACGGTTGCTAAAGGGGGCATCATGACAAATAAAGTCAGATGAAGAAGGAAAATCACTTGTAACCCTACTGGAGTCATTGTTTGACAGAGATAGAAACAATCATCCATGCTTTCCATCACTGCCCAAATGCACGTGAGGTTTGGGACAGAATTCTTGAAGTTGCAGGTCGAGAGGCATTTTACTCCCTTAACTGGTATGCTTGGCTACTAAATAACCTATAAGGTAACCATCCAAGCTTTAAGAGAGTTCTAGGGTCTTGAATTTAGCATTGCGTTGTGGCAAATATAAAAGGAGAGAAACTATTGAATTTTTAGTTCTTCTATATTCTCTTGCACCAGCATTGTTGAAGTGGACAAGAGACTTATGGGTGATGCCATTCATTCCATGGTTGGAGAATCTGGATAACAATAAGCATAGGGTTGTAGCAAGGGAAACTCAGGGTTGGCTGGAGCTGGTGGAGTCATTAGAGATACTATGGACAGATGAATTATTGGTTTTGCTTTTAATATCGGGATTTGTACACCAATGGGTGCTGAATTGTGAGTAATTATCAATGGTTTGAAATTAGCTTGGTCTACATAATTATAAAAAATTATTTTGGAATTTAATTTATCATTAGTAATTGATTTAATTAGTAAAAATAAGATTATTATTGAAAAAATTTATAATCTAATTATGTATGCTAGAGAATTATTAGCAAAAGTTCAGGATATTTCAAGAGCTACATATCTACAAAGAAGCAAATTCATTAACAAATTGACTAACCAACTATGGTTTAATTAGGAGTGTTTTAAATAGATCTTTGATTTCCTTTAATAACCCTTCTGCAAGTCTTTACTATATTTTGTATTATGATATGATTGGATTAATTTTACCGTATTTAATTTAATTTGGCGTTTTAGCCCCGATTTTTAACCAAAAAAATGTTACAGTTGAGATGCTTACAGTGTGGACTTTTTTGAGAATCGCGTTGAATTTCTCTTCCCTACTTCTCTCAATAAAGATAGTTTGTTAGTATTTTTCTAAAATTTACCGTGTTAAGTTCTTCACCAAATTGTGCTGACTGGGCACACTTTGCCATGACATCTTGTCTCATGGAAGAGAGTGTCTGCATGGCCATGTACCCTTTCTTCTCCAAGAATTCCAGGCCAAAGTTGATCAAGGCTTGATTAAGTCGGACGCCGTCACCTTCAAGGTAGAAGCCGCGACCTCCCGCTACATCAGCGCCAAATAATTTTAAGCACTTCCAAATTAAGCTAAACTTCAAATGCTAAATAACAATATGAGATCAAGCTTCGCAGGAGAGGAATTGCACTTATTTTATGGCAAGGATATATTTTTCACCAATATAACGTACTTATTTTCTATATGACCTGAATCTTCTTTATGTTACTCTCAAACTCACCCTTATATATAGTCTTTTATCTGCACCCCCACTTGTAAAATTCAAATTCATCATGGTCAACCTAAAGCATTGACCACCATAGTCGGCTAATATCCCCAGATAACTAAATCCACTTCAATTACATAAAAGACAGATCAAGAGAGGCTAAGAAAATTAAATTCATCTTAATCCTAAATATATGATGCTTAAGTTTAATGCTTATTATAACATAATAATATAATTTGGATGAAAATCCTTTAAAGTGGATGGAAGTCCTTAATTAAAAACTTACAAGAGTTTGAGGATGCAGTTCATACCAATGATTGTTGATAGCAAAATTGAGACTAATTATAGAAAAAAAAAATTAAAAATTTTTCTGGGGGCAGCCCCGCAAAGGAAAGGGACCCGCCACCCCTAGAAAAGACTTCGGAGATTGGTAATGAAAAAAGTGGTGGGTCCGGTTCCGGGTCAGTTATTCTCCAGCTTGAGTCAGTGAGGCTGGGATATTGAGGAAAGAAGGGGAGATGTGGGAAATTACTGATAAAATACTTTTATGGTAATTTCTTCTATCATTTTTTTTTTCTGTGTAGAACTGCTGACGTTCCTGATGACGTGGCTGTTTGACTGGTCAGAGTGCTGATGTGTCAGGTGACGTGTCTAATGACTGTACAGAACTGCTGACATGCCTAATGACGTGGTGGAGATTTTTTGTTTTATTTAACAATAGCAGTTAAGGTAACATGACATGAACTTATATGTACACAGGCTGTTGCATTGGTTAGATTATGTGAGATGTAAATATTTGACTTAATGTCTGGCTTTGTAACAGGATTATGATAGTTATGTTTTGACTTGTGTATAGTGTGTTGAGTTAAGCTGTTATGGTTTCATCGCTCTGGTTTTGGCTGCAGCTTTATATTCTGAGGTGTAATTAATGAGGCTAAAAAAATATCGTCATGCTAGTAGAGAAGGTGAGGCAGAGGCTTTCGTCAGGCTCGAGCTCTCAAAATAGTTATGGGGATGATGAGGAAATGGATTCCAAAGAAAAGATAAAAGATTTGATTCCAAAGAAGAGATGAAAGATTGGCTGTTGAGTGTTGGTATCATATTTCCAATGACAAAAGAGTCTGCAGGTGCCATGTATCATCAACAACTGTCCTGTCAAGTCAACCACCATAAATTGTTAGAATATCTTGAAGAGCAAAATACAATTGTCGACTGTAACAGTCAGGTTTGAAAAGGCAAGCATCTTAGACAGTTTACTAATAAACTTCAACAATGTCAGGCCACTCAAATTGGGTAGATTCAGTCCTCCAAACCTAAATCTTTCATTGCATTTCTAAGGCCCTAATCGCTTGCTATTATGCAGCGCAGTTGGTCTGAACACTAGCTGAGATGGTGCTCTCATTATGCATATTAAGTTCTTGGCCTCATGTAGACATCGGCATGCAAGGAGATGGAGACGCAGAAAAGAGAAGAAAAATGAACTATCAAAACTGAAGAGCAAGCCGGGGAATCTTACCATAACTACAGCGAAACTCTCCATATCCACCGATGAAACAGCATAAATTTGATAAAGGAAATCCCTGTAAGCTGCGCTGTCCCCAAAAATAATATGTATATGCATAGAAAAGGAAGCAACATTCACAAATCTAAATAATTAACCTCCAAGCCAGCTGCAACTGAAGCCATTATTCACATCTTGTTGTACTGAATAAAATTCAGGACCCCCATACTTGGGCTTTTTGTGTTTTGGTTTATTCTTCTTAGCTTCTTATTTCTGATACTTTTATGTTTTAATTATTTTTGTCCTGCATAAGCTTAAGTTTTAAATTGATGTGGTGTATGACAGCACATGCACCATCATCTGCATGCATGGTTGATATATTGAACTGTCTTCTATCCTTGCACAAATTGAATTTCAGTTCCATGCATGCACATATTATCACTTCCTTGATTTGATGCCATACTTTAATAAGTCTACGTAGGAGTGCAATAAGTGCATTTAACTTTTTTGGTTGTTGGGGATCTGCTATTCTGAATTATCTTTACCACTTACAAGAGTAGTACTTGTGCTTTGAAACATATATATCCTCTCCCTCTCTCTCTCTTCTCCCATAATATTAATAGCAAATGCCGATAGTTTCCTTGAAATAATTATAGCTTTTCAGAATATTTGTGGAGCGGACCTACTGGTGGTCCTTTGGACATAAAATTCACTTGCGGCTTCTAAAGGCCCTGTGGCCGTCTTTGGTGAGGCATCAGAAAACTCTGGGTGGCATTGCGGTCGAGAGAGTTAAGTAGTTTTCAATACCGCAGATGACTGGACTCCATTGACCAGGTCAGACTTTTACAGAGGCAATCTTTCTGGCGGTCGTCAGCTATTTTCACTTGTGACATGGTTTTTTTACTGCATGCAAAGTCAACACTGCAAGTCTTAGGTTGTGGGAGAAAATTTTCAATTTTCAAAAATTCAAGCTCATTTCTTTTAATTTTATTCGAAGTTCTTTTTTGTGATGAAATCCCGTTTTTATGGAAATGATATATCCATTTTTTATTAGGGTTTGCATAGAGATAGTAAAATGTGCTCTAAAAAGTGATCTTTATTAAGAGATTTATAATGTAGACACCCATGCACAGTTGCAGTTGCTCGCCAACATGCATGTGTGAGCTCCTGCAATTTTATTTCAGAATACAAAAGAAAAGGTATCCTCTGTGTTCATGGCAAGCCTTAATTACCTTTCCCTCCTCCATATCCAGAGCCATAACCAGACCCGCTACCATAACCTGAGCCAGAGCCAGAGCCAGATCCTCCTCCTCCACCCCCACCACCTCCTTCTCCTCCTCCTCCTCCACTTCCATGCCCACCCTTGCCACCACCGCTTCCACTTCCACTCCCACTACCATAGCCTGACCCACTTCCTGATCCGGAGCCATGACCTCCACCACCACCACCTCCACTGCCGCCACCGCCACCGCCACCTCTGCCGCCACCTATCCCACCACCGGAACCATAGCCTGAGCCGCTACCAGACCCATAGCCAGAACCTGACCCTTTGCCTCCACCACTGCCACCGCCTCCGCCCCCGCCTCCGCCTCTGCCTCCACCTCCTCCATGACCACCAGCACCATATCCTTCACCGCTCCCATATCCAGACCCAGAACCATAAC